GCATGAGAGGCAAGAGCATTTTTGTTGTGTAAGTGATAGGAAAGGCACATGTGGGAGAAGCTATAGAGAAAGTGTCTAGACAACTTTGAGAACAGAGAGGAAAGTCTAAGGTGAGGATGACATCCAGGTTGTAAGTCCAAGTGATGGATAAGAGGAGGTGATAGTGCCAATGATTACGAAAGGGATAAAGGGTCACTTGGAATGAGAAAAACAGTTCACCTTCAGCCATGATGGGTCAGATGTCCCCAGATGTCAGGGAGCCAGGGTAAGATAGGAGTTTTGGTTGGAGACAGTTAGCATGACAGAGGTCCAGAATCAAAGGAAACTGCATTTGAATTGTTGAGATTCGTCAGAGATCAAGGAAAAGGAAAAGGAGAGCAGGACCCTGTGGCCACAGTGATGGCAGGATGAAGAAGGGATATTGGCTTCAAACTGAAAGAGAGTAGGTTTAGATTAGATGTTAGGAAGAAATTTTCTACTCTCAGGGTGATGAGGCACTGGGGCAGGTTGCCCAGAGAAGTTGTGGATATCCCCTGCCTGGAAGTGTTCGAGGCTGGATTGGAAGGGGCTTTGAGCACCCTAGTCTAGTGGAAAGTGTCCCTATCCATGGCAGGGAGTTGGAACTTGATGATCTTTGAGGTGCCTTCCAACCCAAACCATTCTGTGATTCTTTGAAGATGGACAAGGGGAAAGGGAAAAGGCCAGAGGGGGGCAAGAAAGGACATAAAGATAGAATGAAAGTGTAGGCAAAGATCCCCATCTATACCAATTCTTTGATCCTTCTACTCACATTTTCATTCAAATTCTAACTGGTATTACAGAAAGTCTTTTTACTGCTGTACATAAAGTAAATCTTTCCAAACTGTTTAAGACAGCAGTATTCCCAGCTGATCCCCAAAGACAGATCTTGTTTCTTCATGATCATAATTACTTCAAAAGAAAAAGATATAAAGAACTATGACCAGGGAATGTGTGGGGTTTTTTTTAAATAGGAATCACCCAGCCCAACCATTGGTACAAAAATAGTTAAATATGATGGACCAAATATCAAACTATGAGAAGAATGACTTGAATTAGAGAAGCATAGATAGGAGAAGCTAACAAAAACATCTCTTCCTGTGGGGACACTAACACAGCCAAATATTCATCTTTGTAGGTCACCCAGTTTAAAGAGGGATGGGCAGGGGGAAAGAAATCTGGGTTTGATATTTTGTACCCTGGACTACAAAGGAATAACTGCGAATATATAAATAAAAGACAGCTGGGCTGAGGTTTCAGATCACCTACACCCATCAGAAAGTCAGCCAGACATCGAGCACAGTGCTCTCCTGTTTGATACCTGGCCTAATGCTCAACTCTGTCAATACTTTAAAGGCAAAGAGAGAGACAGAGCAGAGATACGTTTTATTAAAAGGCTTAAATCATGTGCATTGCCACAGAAACAACAAAGAAAATGACATAGCCCAGAGGGAGAAACCTTTGGTTTAAATATCTATAAAGATGTTGTGGCCTAAAAGGAAGAGCTCCTGCCTGGGAAAACCCTGAGCCTGTCATAAAGTCTACAAGACTACCTAAGAGGAGGAATTGAATGGATGACTGTGGCACATGGATGAGTGGCTGAAAGTGCAGCCTGAGCAGTAATTGGCTCTATTGATGCTCCTCTGATTAGCTGGTTTTGGCTACAGCACTCATCAGACCCACGCTGAGTTCACAGCACAAAAGTATTCACACTGCACTGAAGAACGTCTCGGATCAGCCAGTGGATCCCTGCAGAGAAACAGCAAACACAGATCTGAAGGATGTGGTCTCCAGAGAGGGTTTCCAAATCTTTACTTCATGTCACTAATTCCTTATCCAGAGCTGAAAAAGAAAGGACTCCTGGAACGGATTCAGATGTTCCTGTTACTTTTCACTACCTCAGAAATGAAGGAAGAGATGAGAAAAATTGATGATGCTTCTGTCGAGAGAAATTTAAAAGCTAAATCACATTAATCACTGTGATCTGAATGTAGATAGTTCAAATTCTTTACCAAAATACTGAAAGTTGCTAATGAACTCAAACAACAAAGGGATCAGCTTGTTGGGATGGGATGGGATGGACAGGTTACACACTGCTGAATCTCCAGAGAGACTCCTAACAGGGAGAGGTCTCAGTTGAGGACATCTCACAGAGGGCACAGAAGAACACAAGCCACTCCAAGCCCTTACAGTGACAGTGGGCACAGCACCAGCAAACACAAATGGAAGAGAACAAGGAAATCAGGTATATTCAAGTGAGAGTTATTTTTATGTGCAGACCTGCACACCTACTGTGTCTACTCCAGAGTTATGGCTAAGACCTCCTTTTGGCTCATCCAACTCATTGAGCTCTGAACTCAGCTCTGTAGAGTCCTGCTGTACCCTCAAAATGGCAGCACAACTCAGCAGAATGATAGAGAAATTCCACAGAACATTATTTGCTTCCACACTGTGCTAATCACCTCCAAAAAGCAAATTGGAGAGGATCAGCCAGCACTAGCATATGCCAGCAGATGCTGTTGTGTTTTCTGAGCTGGCCCACTGATTCAAACACTCTGGTCAAATATAAGCAGTTTAGACTATTAATAGTAGCATAAAAGAAAGGCATCTCTATTTTGCTTGTGAGCTGCCTGTGTCCCTGCCTTTCTCACTCTGTCCTCCTTCCCAGCTGTTATGTGGTGACTAAATTAAATGTGAGGACCAGTAGAACAGGTCACAGCTTACAACAGATATTACCAAAGTGGTTTGAGGACAATTGACCATTATGTACTTGCAACACACAGTAAGCAGAGATGAAGGTTAAATATGAGGCTTTTCTACCCAGAAGATACCAATCTTGCATGTATACACAGAAAAAATAGCAATTGCATTTCAGACAAGATAAGAATTTGGCTCCCCAGACAGAACCAACCAACCTATGGTTACAAACACTTCATTTGCTTTTTGGGGTTCTACCTCCACAGGAGTGGCACTGAAGTAGTAACTCACCTCGATGTTGCTGCCAGGCTCTGACACCAGTCATATACCTTGGAGAGATATGGAAAGACCACCTTGGATGGGCTGAACATCTCTTCCATCACTTGCAGCTCATCTCTTTTTCTTCACATGACCCTCATGTCTTTGCCCTGAGGTTCATACAGGATTGCACAAAATACCCCCAGAACTGCCCGACCTTTGTCTGAAGTCAACATCCACCTCAATTCTTTGTGTTTCTTTATATTCCTTATTTACGTATCTAAAAACTGTTGAATGAGGCTCTGAAACCTTCTCTACCACAGTTTAGTCCCTTCAGGTCCCAAAGGAAAAAGCAGTTTTTCCTAGTGGTTAACATTAAGGAAATTTGAGCTGGTTAGTCTGTTGGGAATTCCTTTCAGAATTGTCTTTTAAGCTTTTTTCCTAAAAGTTGGAAGCAATTTGTTGATCTTCAAGAAGCAGATTATAGAAAAAAAAAAGTTAGAAAAACTCTGTCATTCTGAGATTTTTGTTAGGGAAAAAAAATTAAAATCTGTTTCTGTTTTAGCTAGAACTAACTTTGCTGTTCTTGCATAAAGCTATGATGAAGTACATTGTAGGATCAAGATATCATGGAATATGAATATTACTTTGTTAAACTCTTCAGCACACAGCTGAGTCTGATGAAACTACTCCAGAGGGAGACACTTGTCACTGAAGAAATTTTGTCTCACTGTTATGAAGTTGACTCAGCAATATTTAACTGATGACTCATTATTTTGCACATTATTCCAAACTCTGGTCATGCACAAGGACCCCCATAGCAGGCACAGCATGAACATGGAACAAAGAGGCACCTTCTGCTCCCAAGAACTCCTAGTCCTTGTAGAGGACTAGAGGGGCAGATGGAGACAGACAGAGAGTGAGATTAAAGGAACCAGACAGGACATGCTGTCAAATTTTGAGTAACCATCACAGCTAGGGAGAGATCTAACTGAGACTATGAGTCTGAGATATTCATATAAAAAAAAAACAACAACAAAGCTCCAAAAGATTTTAAGCATCCCATGCTCATTCCACACTATTATTCCAAGTGAGATCAAATGTGGGAAAAGGAGAATACTGAAATAGAAAGAGGCTCTTTGGGGTTGTGAGTGTTGCAGTGCCCCCAGGGATCCTTGGGAGAAGCTCTACAGAAGTTCATATGTGGGGAGAGGATCAGACTTTGAGCCATCAGCCAGAAATCCAGAGAAGCTGAAGCTGCCTCAGACAGTTCTAGGAGGAAACAGTGGGAAGTGAAAATATATTGAGACCTGACTTTTCACTTTTACCTTGCTCACCAGATGTATTTTGGAAAATGATTGGAGGAAAAGCTGTTCTCCCAAAAGCCCTGGGTGTCACCAGTGCCCACCCCGGGGCCAGGGGATCACTGGCAGCAGCTGCTCTCACGTCGGAGTGTGCCTGCCCTTCGTATCTCTGCTCTTTTATATCGTGTCTCTTGGCTCTCTCCGTCCCGTCCACCTCTTCCCTTTGCATTCCTCCTCTTTGCAACTCTCTGCCTTTGCATCCCTCCCCTTTGCATCCCTCCCTTTTCACCTCCCCCTTTCCACCTCTCTCATTTACATCCCTCCCCTTTGCCTCTCTGCCCCCTTCGCATCTCTGCCTTTTCCCATCCCTCCCCTTTGCATCTCTGCCCCTCGCATCTCTGCCCCTGCATACCCCCTGTCCCTCGACCCTCTGCATCTTCGACCCTTTGCACCCCTGCCTGCTCGGACATCACCCCTTCGGGCATCTGTCCCTTGCACCCTCCACTCCTCCCTCCCGCCCCTTTGCATCCCCACCCTTTCGCTCCCCTGCCCGTTCGCATCTCCGCCTCGCTGCCTCCCTTCCCTCTCCCCCCGGCACCTCCTGCACCTCTCCCGCACTCCCGGTCGCCCGCAGCCTCCGGGGCAGCCCGGCAGCGCCTCCGGGCCGCTCCAGCCCCCCTGCCCCCGTCCCCTTCCCTGCCCGCCCGGCCCGGAGCCCCCGCGATGCCGCCCCCGCCGCGGCTGCTGCCGCTGCTGGCGCTGGTGTTGGGGCTGGGTCCGGGGGTCCGGGGGGGTGCCGGGGGGGGCTGCCAGCTGCCCGCGGAGTGGCGGCCGCTCAGCGAGGGCTGCCGGGCCGAGCTGGCCGCGATCATCGTCTACGCGCGGGTGCTGGCGCTGCACCCCGACACCTACGGCGCCTACAACTACCTGCCCTGGCAGAGGGACCCCCCCGGCGGCTCCCAGCAGGGAGCGGGGGGGCTCTTTTACTCGGCCGAGATCGAGCTGCTGTGCGACCAGGCGTGGGGCAGCATGCTGGAGGTGCCCGCCGGCTCCCGCCTCAACCTCACCGGCCTCGGCTACTTCTCCTGCCACTCGCACACCGTCATGCAGGGCTACGCTTATTTCTTCTTCCTCCGGTGAGTCCCGGGATAGGGATGTGCGGGGAAGGGGGTGGGATGCCGTGTCCCGGCTCCAGGGCATCTCCCCGGGCGGGGGGATGCGCACCCGCCCCTGCCCGGAGGGTTCTCTCCGCCCCGCTGCCGCTCTCCTCGCAGCGCCTTCTGCTTTGCGCTTCCACTTACAGTTTCATCGGGAAAAAAACCCTCCGAAACTCCAAAAGCCCATAATATTCCAGTATTGCCGGGCAGCAGATGCACGGGGAGCTGCTGTTGAGTAGCTCCTGGATGCTGCTGCTTTTGTTTTTACTGCGGGACGGTCACGGAGCTGGAGAGAGGCCAGCTCTGAAGTTTGGCATGGGAGTTTAAAACCCATCCCCAAATACTCACCCGATAGCTTTTCATCAGCTCTCCCAAGTCCCAGCCAAACCCTGACTTTGGGCTCATCGAAAGACTAAGAAAATAAACCACAATGTTGGAACAGAGCCATCACCATGACCTTTCAATCCAAGAGCGTTTGCGAAATACTACTCAGTGGCTTGTTTTGAAATACTTGGTATATTCTTACACTGGGTGCATAATGAAACTCATTTTGATGCTGTCTAGGGCTTAGTCTGTAGTAATATCTTTAAACACATTTTACAGAAGTTATTTATTGACTGTTTGAAGGAGTACTTAAACTCTGGGACCGAGGGCAAAGCGATGCAAATTCAGTAGGAGCTATGGCTCAAAATACAGATTTACCTCCTTTATGGGGTTTCACTGGTGTCTGCAGGGTTGTAGGAGCCTGTTAGTTCATTACTGCTGCTGCCTGATCCAGTTCCCATGGTGGAAATTGCCATCTTGGAGACTTAAGTGCCAGGAGACCTGAGAGTGACTTGTCAGCTAAAAGTCTGTGTGACTTCGGTGGCACTTGTTGAGCCAGGCTGAAGTATGATGGGCGACTTCTACAGGAGAGAAAGTGCTGTTCATTCTCACAGTGCAATTTGTGTTTCAGAATGGATGAGAACTACATCCTCCTGCCTCATGGAGTCAACTTCCAGGAGGCAATTTTCCCTGATACCCAGGAGAACAGAAGGATGTTTGCCAGCCTTTTCCAGTTTTCGAACTGCTCGCAGGCACAGCATGTGCTGAGCTTCTCCAGTGACTGGGAGATTCAAGAGGATAACCGGGTAAGGGATTTATTTGCTCTCCAATGCTTGTTTTGTAAGCGGGCCACAGGCATTCCCATGTCTTTTGTGAACATATGTATACAAATGTAGAGCAGCAGGTCCCTGATTTTCCTTTTCCTTAGGTGGTGGTATCACTGGCAAAGTAACACACTGGTGGGAAGATATTGAACTTTGTTTTCAAAGCTGGACTCTGTGTTAGCTCTTTAGCTTCCTGTGGACCTGTGCAAAGCTTGGTAACAACTTGTTCGTGAACAATAGGTTGAAAAACAGTATTGCTTGCAATCCTGTCCTACTCCACCCAGATAATTCCTGAGTTTGCTATCTCTAGACCCCATGCTTTAGCTTCAGCTGAAATGTTCAAGAGCAGAGCTTTGCTTTTGTACTTCTGTGTTCATCTCATGTAGTGAGAGCAGTGCCTGGACCACGACAGACTGTAAGGGATTATTCTTACCTGACTCCACATAACAGCATAAACATCTACTGAACTAATCGCCCTAAGCTGTCTTTGTAGCTGCTGGGGGAAAAGAGACTCTCGAGAGCACGTTTCATCTGAGCCATGAGGGCATGGTTCGTCTGAGCCATGCTAGCACTTACTTCTGAACAAGCTGAAAGACATGTCTCTTTCTCCTTTCAAGGGAGGCCACAGCAGGTAGTTCACCCACTAGGCAATCCTCCCTTAAGAAGGTACAGAAAGTCCAACGATGCCCACTGTTAGTGGCTTCCGAGCCCCTTTTATGGGACTGTAGTGTGTGAAATAAATGCAGGATTTTAATAAATACTTATTTGGCAGAGAGCTGCAACCTGTTATGTGCGTGCATGTACTGGATGTGCATGTACTTTTGAAGAAGTGGAACTTGGGGAGCTGGTTTAGTGCCAAAGCTTGTTTTGTGAGGCGTGTGGTTTCCCCTGGTAGCTGAGAACATTATAAGCATCTCTTCAGGTCAGGATGGACAGGACAGGTGTCATCGCTTGTGTCTTCCGTGGCTTCACCCAGGGCACAATGTTTATGTATGGCAGCAGATGCACAAGTGGCTTGTTTGGGAGATGGATGGAGGGAGTTCAGTAGCTGTCAGAGCCCTTTCCTTTCACCAGCTGGCTGAATGCCAGCATACAAAGTTTGAGCTGCTGTGTGGCCATCTGGCTGGTGATACAGCCCCTCTCCTTGGGGTGCCCCGAGAGTGAGTGTTTTCTCACTGCTGATATTTTGGGGAGGGAGTGGGGAATGATGCTGTTCAAATATATATTTGGGGACAGTAGCAGGAATTGATGTTTAAGAGAAAATGAATCATCTTACAATTAGACTACAGAGCTGTAACCCTGGCTAGGCAAGAAGGGGGAGGCGGAGAGCCCTGGTCCCAGCCCTGCCTCCTCTGTGCCAGCCCCCAGGCTCCCCAGTGCCCCAAGAAACAGATTTGGCAAGTAAAAGTGCTGCTGCTGCCAAATCCATGGATTTTTCTCCAGGGGAGCAAAGTGGCATTGGGGGACCACCAAATCCAACTGCCAGTGACTGACTGTGATGCCTCTGCACTGTTTATTTAGTCGTGCTGAGCTCATTGTAGGGGACCTTGATGAGTTGGTGCTCGTTTATGCCAGCAGTGACTCTCACCAGTCAGATTTAATGGAAATCACAAGGCAGAACCCCCCAGGGTAAGCTGGGGCAACCCTGAGCACATGTATCAAAAGTGCATTTCAGCTGTTGCTCTCTTTGACCCTGCAGCTGTGACCAGACCAGGGGGATTAGAGCTGCTGGTCCTATAGACTGGGGCCGGGGGCTTTGCATGCTTCAACACCCACCCGTCCAGGGAACAAGTTCAGCACAACTGATGGACACTTTGTCTCCCCTTCGTAATGAAAAGTAAAAGCTTCCTCTGCACCAGTTAAAAATAGTTCAGGCTGACTGTGCTTCCATTCAGCTCCTGCATCTGTGTTTGCCCAGCCGAGCGCTGGCTCCTCGAGCTGCCTGCCCCAGCCTGGGAAGGGGACGACATTTCTGGCTTCTGTATTAGGAATTTGTTCCCCAGATCTTCCCAATGCAGGTGTCCGTGTCCAGGGTGCATCTCTCTTTAGTGTTTTGTTTCTCTCTCTGCCTTGTTACATCCAGAGGTGGCTTTCCCAATTGGCAACGTGTCTACTCACATCCCATCACAGTGTAAACAATTTCCATTTCCAAGTGTGCTCAGCTGAGCTGCCCCGTGGTGGCTCCTAAGATGAAATCTGTGGCATGTGCCAGCTTCATGGCACAGAAAGTGAGCATAACTCAGAGCATTATTCTCTAAGTATTTTTGAAAAGGAGGCTCTTTGGGAGCCTGGGGACATCCAAAGGGGGGTTCTGTGATGGTGTCAAGTTATGGAGAGCTTGGACAGAGAGGGAAGGGTCTTCTGATGAGGCTCACACTGTAGTGAGGAGTCAGGGGCCTCACCAGCTGTGGTGTACTGAGAAAAACTGTGAGATAAAATACATCATGAATGTTTTGTGCAGTCAGAGAGAAAGCAATGGAAATGTTGAGCTCCTCAGAGCATAAGGCAACTGAGATGAAGGTCTCATTCCAGAAGTTAATAGGTAGGGTCCTGCCTGTGGATCTTGGAACAGCTGCATGCAGGGACACCTTAAAAAGCAACTCTGTCAAAAACCAGTGGGACCCAGTAGGTCTGGATGAAATCTCCTGTTTACAGCTGGGTCTCATACTCTGAAAGACTTTTTGAATCCCTGTATTTGCTTATGGCCCTGTGCCCTGGCCTTGATATATTTCTGGGGTGGTCATTTCAAAGGAGACTTCAGCTCTGTGCAATTACAATGAATAATTCATGTTTGTGGCTCTGGGGTGCACAGCCAGAATGTGAGAGAGCCCTATGATGGATGAGTGTCTTTGCCTCATGTAATGCTGCTCCCAGCAAAAGGTCTCTTCTGCAGGGTGTTCCTCAGCTGGCCACAGAGCAGGTGACCCAAAGGTGACCACTGACGTGTTGTCCTCCTTCTTGCCCTCTTCTCTCTACAGTGCTCCTTGTTGCAGCTAGCCTTGTCTGGGCTTTCCCAATGGGTGAAACGAGGAAAATCTTAACAGCTCTTTTTCCTCCTTCCAGCAAATGTGTCTGATGATGCAAAATAGAACAAAGAGATGTGCAAGAACTTTTTGATGCACTGGGATGTGCCACCTGCCTTCTCCCTCACAGGCAAACCTTTACAGTTTTCAGAAAGCCCCAAGGCATGTGGTGAAAGGAGGCCAGACCCAAGGCACATCTCACTGGGGATAATACATTCCTCATCCTGAGCCTGCTGCTCTTGCTGGAAGCTAATCACAGCTGCCTTTTTAAGCTCCTTGCAGTCTGGGCTGAGGGCCAGATGCTGCTTTCCATAGTCTTCCAATAACCCCACAATCTCATAAATTCACTCAGGTGCTTGTTATGGCCACTCCAGAGAGCAATGATAGCTCGTGCTGTCACTTCTTTTGACACTTGCATTTTGGCTTTGGCATTTGCAGAAGCAATAATTAATTGAGCTCCATCTTGACTTTTATCTCAGCTCCTTAGTGATCTTTGCAGACCTCCTGCTTTACTCCATCTCATTGCTGCAGTGATTCCCACAAGATTGTTGCTAAAACATGAAGGTCCCACCAGGTTTGGGGTTGGAGTTGAGTTTGTAATGAGTGGCTGAAACTTCAGAGTTTCAACAGAGTGAGGGGCTCCTTCTTGCAGCACATTGCAAGTATCTGGGTCCCAGGTTTGGTCCAGTCCCAGAGCTGATATTCATGGAGGTGATAACACAGGAACACCCTTTTTATTCTCTTTCAGGATTACAGTTTTAGATGATTTTTCCCACTCTCTGCCCCTGGGAGAAATGCATTTTTCGCCTATCCAGGGAACCTTGCAGACAGCAGTTTTTATTAAGGTGCTTTTATCAAAGAAAGGAACAATTAAGCAGCAATACAAACCTAACTAAAATTCTTAGAAGTTCCATGTTTTAGCCCACATCTCATGTCAATTCCTGAGGAAAGGCCTGCAGATGTATCAAGGGATTTGTGAAATGTGACAGTGGCCATGCCAGGCTTTCCTGTGCCTGCCAGAATGCAGATTCCTGCCTCAGGAAACCACCAGACATTCCTTTATGTTTTTCCCCTTGATTCCCTCAGTGTTCCTAAAATTTCCCACAAACCCCTGCATGCCACCCAGTTATTCTCTTGTACAGCTGGCAGTGCTGGTGTTTCATTGCTGGTACTTTTAGGGAGCAGCCTTGTGACCTTTTCTTGCTCAAAAGGATTTTTATCAGTGGTGCAGGGATGGGGGGGGGGGGAATGGGAAAGTCCCAAAGGCTCAGGTGGCATCTGCATATTCCAATACCTCTTTCTCACAACAAACTTTTCATATGGCTGAAGTGATAAAGGACATTTTTCTACATTCAGGGGATTGATTTCTGCTTGCTCAAGCTGGGGAGTGGGAATTGTCCTTGTTGTTTTATCTGTCACAGTGCCTGCTGCTAAGTCTGGGGATGATGCAGTAGGTTGGGATTGAAATCTTGCCCCGCCCGAAGAGTTTTTAGTGCAAGTCTGGGGGCTGTAATTTCTCCTCCTGACTTGGCCTTCTGCAGAGTTGTCTGATCTCATAAAGACCTGGTTGCCCTTCCTGCATACGACAGATTACACCAAAGTGACTTGAGGTCTGGTGTCAATAAGGGCTATAGAAGTGTGTAATAGCACCTGTAGATATTTATTATTCAGGGGGGCTTTAACTCCTGGTTTTATCAACAGGTTGATAGGGAAATGTGGTCTTTTGGACTTCCCTTTTATTCATGCAGGAGCATTGCAAAATGGCCCCAAGTGCAGCATAACAAGGGAATAATGGCAGTGTCCAACCAGCCATGAGCAACAGCGAGAGCCCTAGCACTGAGATAAAGCCCATGGAAATTAAGGAACCCAATAACTTCAGTTAAGCTCGGTGAGATTGCAAGGGGAGATTATACTTTTTATTAAGTTTGTCTCTGTGCATTGGCTTGTCTCCTCTCAAGC